CCGCACGCCACACATCCTCAGATGGTCACAGTTTCCTTCAGCAGCAACGTCCACGAAACACTTTAAGTTGGGATTGAAGAAATCCACACCAGCCTTGCTTGCCAATTCGGCTCTATATACACTCTGCACCAGAATGCTCACGGGCATCGTGTGGGCACCTGGCCCATCCGTGTCGCTGGATGTTCTTCGCACAGCCAGTTTGCCAGCCACACGTAGACTGATGCCCGCATCATGTGCCTGCGGAGCCCCCCCGGCATGCAAGGTGTTGAGCAAAGTCTTCCTGCAGAGGACGTCTCGTTTTGCCTCAACAATGCTCTCGCTTGCTTGCCCCGGTCCCTGAACTGGCCCAAGCCGGCCAACCTTCAACATGTGGAGCTGGCATGCGGCTGAAGGTTGCCCTCGTCCCTGAAGTGGCGCATGTTTGCCGTGGCCTCTTGCATGGGCGGAGCTCCTTCAGTGGCACATGGTGCAAGCTTGTAAAGACAGCTTCGCTGCTTATACTTTCTACCCTGGGCCCCTATCACTCTTCATGCCTATATCCTGTACTGATGCAGACCCCACCCAAGATGTGTAAAGTGCTGCGCACAGTGGTTCAGCAGAGGACATCACTGTACAACGCTCTCGCTGGCTTGCCCTGGTCTCTGAACTGGCTCACCTTCCAATCTTCAGGCAGGGCTTCTTCAGAGGCATGCGGCGCGAGGCTGCAATCTGTGCAATGCATTCCGATGGTCCTATCTGCTGTTTCCAAGATTCCTCGTCTCTCAAAGCGCCTCTCCTCTCATCCCGATCGCCTGTCCCTTCGGATTTCCATGTCACATGTGCGCTGACGCTTGCCTGCTCTGCCGGCAGAAGGCGCTTTCAAGAGCCCAGAATGTACGTCTTCACCGCGCGATGCCAGCGCCGGCCCGGAAGAGTTCCGGCTCAGCCTTCAAGATTACATGACCAGCAGCACCCTCTGCACGTGCACGCTTGCAGCCTTCACCTGGCCTGACGTAATCCCTACAAATGTGCTTTGCAATTTGTACCTTTGCCCCACGGTCTCGTGGAGTCGAAGCTTGCCGACTGCATGTTCAAAAAACCAACCGCTCACGGGCTTGGGAGTGCGGGGTAGATCAGGGTTGAGGGTTCTACACGGGTTCCAGAAGGGCGATGGGAGACAGTTTTCCTGCGGAGTCACAATCACGATCCTCTTCGGCATACTCTTGCAAGATGTTGTGCATCTTGCTCTTCTCCGCATGGCAAACCCATCACCATCAACATCATCGGCATCTTCATCTTGCTCGTTTTGTCAAGGGAGTTGAAGTAGCTTCCCGGACTTCCACTCTGCGAATTTGCAACACCTCAGTCCCCTAACAGCCCAAATTTCCTCAATTTGCAGTATATTCACACTTCCACCAGATTGAAATAGGCCAAGGCCCAAAACAGCCACGATCAATAAAACCTATGCGCCTTTTGGCCAAGGCCCAAAATAGCCACGATCGAATAAAAATCTACGCGTCTATAGGCCAAGGCCCAAAATAGCCACGATCTAGCCACGATCGAATAAAAATCTACGCGTCTATAGGCCAAGGCCCAAAATAGCCACGATCAAACAGAATCTACGCGCCTAGAAGTAGTAGTAGTAGTAGTAGTAGTAGTAGTAGTGGTGGTAGTAGTAGTGGTAGTCGTAGTCGTAGTCGTAGTCGTAGTCGTAGTCGTCGTCGTCGTAGTCGTAGTCGTAGTCGTAGTCGTAGTCGTCGTCGTCGTAGTCGTAGTCGTAGTCGTAGTCGTAGTGGTAGTGGTAGTGGTAGTGGTAGTGGTGGTAGTAGTAGTAGTCGTAGTCGTCTGCAGTAGTGGTGGTAGTAGTAGTACTAGTCGTAGTAAAAGTAGTGGTAGCGGTAGCGGTGGCGGTAGTGGTAGTGGTGGTAGTGGTAGTAGTAGTAGTAGTAGTAGTAGTAGCAGCAGTAGTACCAGGAGTAGCAGTAGTAGAAGGAGTGGAAATAGAGTAGAAGCAGAAGCACAAGCAGAAGCAGAGGCACAGGCACAGGCAGAGACAAAGGCAAAAGCAGAAGTAGAAGTAGAAGCAGAAATAGAAGTAGAAGGACAGGCTAAGAAGTAGAAGTAGACTTGGACGTCGACGCAGACGTAGACGAGAGGTAAAGGTAGAGGTCGACGTAGACGTAGAAGTAGAAGCAGTAGTGGTAGTAGTAGTAGTAGTAGTAGTAGTAGTAGTAGTAGTACTAGCAGTAGTAGCAGTAGTAGTAGTAGTAGGAGGAGTAGGAGGAGGAGTAGGAGTAGTAGTAGTGGTGGTGGTGGTGGTAGTAGTAGTAGTAGTAGTTGGAGTAGGAGTCTAGTTTGGATTCAGTCTTCTTCGCACCAGCTCGTGGGATGTCAGCTTCCATGCTGCTGCTCTTTTGTTCCAGAGAGAAACGCCCGGTTAGATTCAGCGCTCTTCTGCACAGGACATCCGTTGATTGCTGTGTGACTGAAAGTTCCGCAGTTTCGGAGCATGCGCAAAGCCTTTGATGTTGGGATGGCAATTCCAGTAAAAGGATGGCTATGACACCTGAGTATGACTACTTGTTCAAGTTGCTTTTGATTGGCCAGAGTCTCGGATGTTTTCAAATACCTTGTGTTTACTCACAAAGCGCAGCCTGACAGCAGGTGATTCGGGTGTTGGCAAGTCTTGCCTGCTACTGCGTTTCGCAGATGACACCTACACAGAGAGTTACATTAGTCATCCGGCCAATTTTTGTTCATGTTTCTTTTCGGAGCTTGTGCGGTGATGAAGCAAGCAGTCTCTTCGTTTTTTGCAGGATCTTGGTTTGCCAGGTACGATCGGCGTGGACTTCAAGATTCGCACCCTCGACTTGGAGGGCAAGACAGTAAAGTTGCAGATCTGGGACACGGCCGGGCAGGCCGGGCAGGATGGTCCAAAGCCCTACGGGCCCTAGGCCCTCGGCGGCGCGGCCTGCCAGGAGCGATTTCGGACTATCACGAGCAGCTACTACAGGGGTGCTCATGGCATTATCGTGGTTTATGATGTCACCGACAAGGTCGGATGCACAGGTTCGATCATGCTTCATGGTCCATGATTTGCACCGATTTGAACTGCCAGCGAGGAGTCCTTCAACAATGTCAAGCATTGGATGCAGGCTTCCTGGAATGAAGACCGAAAAGGGCTCGCATGCGGGCTCGCTCTTGGGTTCTTAAGCAGGAGATCGACAAATACGCGGCCGATGGTGTGAACAAGCTGTTGGTTGGCAACAAGTCCGGCCTGCATCATACCTGTGCTTAATTGAATTGAACTGCTTGCTTGTCAGGTGTGATCTTTCGTCGAAGAAGGTGGTCTCTTACGATGAAGCGAAAGAGCTTGCAGATTCCCTCGGGGCCGCCTGACCGCTCAGTAGGAGAAGACTGGAATACACTGTGACTGGTGTCGAGTCTGCGTGTTCTGCGGTTGTTGCCCTCATTGTCTCGTGGTTATGTTCTGTTTATGCCTATAAAGGTTCAGTTCATGGAGACCAGTGCAAAGAACGCGCACAATGTGGAGCAGGCGGCTTGCAGGAGACGTTGCAACAGTCATCTTTGTTTCAGTATAATTTTGTGGAGGCCTTTCAAAGCATGGCCGGCGAGATCAAGTGGCTTGGCGTGCAGACTCGGCACATGAGTTGCATCCAACAGACAAGATAAAGCGGTTGGCACGCTCCGGAACGTCTGTATACGCTAACACCCGCAAGCCTCAAATCCTGAAGCCTGCCTGGCTGGATTTCGAATTATCTCAGGGCACCCAACTCAAAAGGTCATTTTTGAATTCACAGCTCCAAGAACACCAGGCCTGTAGACTTCCAGCTTCTCCAAGGAGTCGCGTTGCATCTCAGCCCCAACCTGCACGCGGAAGTGGGGGCACAACTTTGGGCCCTGGTACGAGGGTCCGCGGCTGAGTGAGGTTGCTCTGTTTCTTGGTCGATGGCAGCATGCGGCGCAACCATAATTGAGTGCACGTAGATTCAGATCATTGCAGCATTCGTCTACGAAGACGAACGTTCAAGCGGGCAGGTTGCGGGCTTGCGATTTCCCGATATGAGGAGTAGGTTTGGGCGAGTGCAGCACAAGCTCGCAAGATTCTTGTGGAAGGCACAGCTTAGGGCATCGCACCCTGTTCTCGCTCGCTGTTACGATGTGTCCAACTGCCCCGCGATCCCAAATTTCATGCTTGGAGAGCCATGCAGTAGAGATGGTGCCGAACAGATCAGACATGCTCATGATGGGTGTATAAGGTCAACAACGGTGGATGTTGCAAGTGATTGCACATCGCCTCAGCCGGGAGAATACAGGCACGCAGCTGTGCGCTTTGTGTTGCTGCATGTCCTCCTGTTGTCCTCGGACCAGATCCTGGGCGACGCCACAGACATATCCACCATTCCGTGAGTCGGCATTGTCACTTCTGCTTGAGCGTGATGAGCCTGCATGATTGGAGTGCTGCCTCCTCTAGCAGTAGCATGTTCGACAGTGTTCGAGCACATCCCATCAGCCCGATATCAGTCCGTACAGGGAGGTTGCGCAAGTGGGCAGGAGCTGAACTTGCTGCTTGCAGCTCGTGTGTGAGTTTGTAGCTGCCCCTGCATTCTTAATGCCAGAAAGACTTCATGCACGAATGGGCCGTGCGACGAATTGCGCGCATGCCCACACAGATGCTGAAGGCTGTGTTTTGCTACCCTCCGCTTCAGACAAGAGAGGGCATCTGTGCAGGCCTACAACCTCATGTCCTCAAAGGGGAGACACAAAAAACTGCGCCTGCACCTTGAAGCAGAGTTGTGCCCAGATCCTGCTCGCCCTCGCCCTTGAAAGCTGAATACTGCAGGTCTTTTAGAACACATGACATCCCCCACGAACAGGGCCATGAACATAGGCTCGGATACGCAGCGAGTACACACCGCCTGTATGGCCAGAACTGTGCATCTGAACATCTGCTTCCTCGCCGAGTGCCTGATCTGCCTGATGTGTAGCTCCCAGCGCTGATGCTGTCCGTGCAGGGTGAGTCCCTGGTCGGGCGGCTTGTGAATGTGACAGGAACTGTCGTCTGCTCGTGGAGTGCTGGAGGGTTTAGGGCCTGGTGAAAGGAGACCATGAAGTCGTGGAGGGAGCAGTGGCCGGGGAGGTTCCGGCCTTGGTCGGCCTTGGTGTCTTAGACTAAAGAAAAGCAGTGTCGTCTCCTGCTAAGGCTTCCATAAAGGGACAAGTTGTGGGCTGGGCTCCTGAGGACAGAGCAGCATAGAACGGCGGTTGAAGTCCTTGTGGATTAGTTCAGATTGGCAGTGGGGCTATGGTTCGCCTTGAGGAGCAGCACTGCATGGTGCAGCACTTACAACAATCCGGTTTGTTGCTCTTGTTGCCCGCTAGATATACACCAACAAGGAACGGTTCACTGCAGAGCTCTAGGTTCGCAGCTTTGGTGGCGCCCTTCTCCGGGTTCAGTCAGCATCACTGGCAGAGATGGAGGTCAGCGAAGGGAGCTGCACGTTGCCGAACGTTGCACGTTGTTGGGTTCTTGTGCTTACGCAGTGCAGGAGGAGTTCGATGTCCTCTGGCCGGAGGGTGACAATCTACGATTGCTGGGCAAGGACATGTGACCGGTGAGCAGTCCCGCCGGCATTCCGAGCTCGCGCCAACAAAGGAGGTTGCAGAATGCCTTGCAAAGAAGATGCACTGCCTCGTGCAGACCTTCGCGTCCTACGAGGCTGTTCAAGCGCTGGGAGATGCACTGCTGGGAGTGCCTGTCACCTGGGCAGATCTCAGGTTGGCTCTCAAGCCATGGAGATGGCGAGAAAACGGCTTGGCTGGAGGCGCTTCCCCAAGGACGTCCCCCTTTCCTCCCCTTAAAAGGAGCTGAGCTGCGCTCCTGCCCCTTTTGCAGCTGCACTGTGAAAGCCTTGTCGAGCTCCTCTTCGAAGGAGTTGGAGCCTTCCTACCTGGGACAGAATGCGCAGGGTAAGATCTTGTGGCTTCCGGCCGATGATCCCCGCCGAGAGGCCAGTGTCGAGGGGTGCCGTTGTTTGTGCTTCGCAATCGAAAGCCCTGCCGGCAAAGGTGCGGTCACCGCTGGAATCCTGCGACAGGTTGCGTCTCTTCGGCAACCAGGACCAGAGTTGCCTGGCCCTGAGCATGCAGAGGCCTTTGGCTTCCAAGCGCCAAGGCTTTCAAAGCTCGCCTCCGGCCTCTATGTGGATTCTGGGTGGCAGTGCGATCTTCGAGTAGGAAGTGTAGATCGGTTGTTCTCAAACAGGAGCATTTCCCTGCAAGGCTCGGAGTGTTTCGAGCCGTGCATCATCAAATGTCTGTACACGGGCCAGTGTCATGCGGTCAGTTCGTGGTGGATCACGCCCCGAACCAGAGGAGTGCCAAGACACACTGAGCTTCCTGCCGGACGGACGCTCCGACGCGCTCTTGTGGCTGCCGCCAAAGAGCCAGAAAGAGGAAGAGGCTCGGGGTTTAAACCGGCCACTAAAAATCCGAAGGCTTGCGGGCTTGGGCTTCTTTTGCTTCTCCTTCTTCTCCTCTGGGGGTCGTGGTCAGAGGCGAACTTGCGGCAGCAAGAGCGGCTCGGCGAGGAGCACGTCAGGGACGGCCAAATCGAGGTCCGAGCTCCGTCGTCAGCACTCATACTGCTCGTCGACTCGCGCCAGGGCCACATTGACTTCGTTCAGTCGCGGAAGGTGTGTGCTCTCTACCAGGCGCCCCTTGCTCACGTGGGAGTGGTGACATCGTGTGAAATTGCTGACTTGCAAAATCAAGGGGCCCCGATTCGTAGGCATTCACGCTTTCGCATGCTTTCGGCATGACTTGGTTACGAGTTGCAGGTGGCTGGCAGTGCCAACGTTGTGCTGCACAGCGCCGAAGGTGTCCCTGCTTCGAACTCAGAGGTCTTACGATTGCCTTGTGCTCGTTGTTTATTCTCCGCACCCAGGTTCATGTAGCACTTCGAAGAGGACAAGTTTTGCTATTCCGGCATGACCTTTCGACCTTCTCCCATGAAGGCTTGGGGGGTTCTTGCCGCCGGGCCGTGGTTCGCATGATTCATCCCTGGTGGAGGCAGCAAAGACTCCTTTGCAATGCTGACCTGGATTTTCTCGACAGGTTTCTGGGCACAACTTGGAGCATTGCGCTGTCCCAGCCTGTGCCTTGCTGAGGTTATGCCGCGGAGGTCCAACAGCTGGCGGGGATCATCGGGAAGGAGGCTTCCGAGTCCTTGTGTGTCAAGTGCCGTGTGTTGAAACAGAACAGCTGGCCGAGCAAGGCTGATGTGGCCTCGGGCGTGATCAGTGGTCCACTGTCTCCGGTGAACCCTTTGACTGGCAAGACAGTGAGCGTAATGTCTGCGGACTGCATGTTGGCAGGACCCGGGTGCTCAACCAAGCAACTTTCAATGGCCCTCTTGATGTGTGAGTGAACATACATCAGCGTTTTCGACTTGCTTGTGTGTCAGGAAACGGTGTCTCTCCAGAAGAGCGCCGAAGATGCACCCAAGTCCTTCTCCGCCAGCTTGCTTCTTCTCTAGCCTAGGTAGCAGGATGAGGTCTTAGCCGCAAAGCAACTGTTGTATCAGTTTGGATCTGAGAGTCTCGCAGACCAAAACTCAAAAAACTTATAACAGCATCACTCGCTACATTTGTCCCTGTTCATTAATAGATATTCATAGACGAATATAAATATACATACTTCTAGTCGTATATATATATATATATACAGCTGTACTGACACATGTACGTATGTCTGCTTGAGTCTCTCTGCCTGTCTGCCTGTCGGTATGTATGTATGTATGTATGTATGCATGCTTGTATGCATGTATGCATGTATGCATGTATGATGTATGCATGTATGTGTATGTATGTATTTGTCTAATGTGGTACCTGTATATATGTATGTGGGTATACATATGTTGGAGTTTGTTGAAATGTAGGTATGCCAATGGGCTTAACACCTATTGACATATTCGAAATTAAAGTTCGTACATATAAGAAACACATACGTAAGCATGTACGTATATACACACTCACATACACACGCACACACATATTGTTCGGGATGCACCATGTACTGTACCCAAGTGTCGGCCTGTGCATGTTTGCAACACAATGCATGTATATACAAGCGGACACCATCGATTCTTCTATGCCTGTCCAGTTATACATGCAGACTTACGCACATAACAATTCAGAGCCGTGCACACGCAGATGTACTAACACGCATCGTGTTTCCACGCGTGCGATGCATCGAACGTCCATCAACAACACATGAGTACATTGGCAGAGAGCAATATAGACAAGCCAGCTGAAAGGATGCATGGGCAAGCACTTTACCATGTCGCAAGCGTCAGCACAGATCAACTAATACGAAGCAATAGACAAGTAGACGGACAGATCGAGAAGACGAAGCACGGTTAGGATCAACCACTTCACTGAAAGTGCATGTAGGCAGTTGGAACACACAAGCACACCTATGTCGGATTCAGATCAGGTGTAGATGCGCTTAGCTCTCTTCGGCATACCAGTGTGTATACGGACGCCAAACCGGGGTGCAGCCCTGCAGAGAAAGTGGCAGCTGTAGAGCAAGTGAAGAGGATATTCTGCTGAGTGCTTGGAGTCTCTGGAGCACTGTTGAAACTCTTCGGGGCTCAAGCTAAGCCGAGGTACTGGCAAATGCTGGTCATGGGGACGGACGGCTGCCGCCATCTTTCACCCGTTCGGTGGGACCCAGAAGCCTACTTTGAGCCGGACAAGGACAGCGGGGGTTATTGAAGGCAGCGGCCGCACCTGTTCTGATTCTGAGCAGTTCAGGACATTGCCTTTGGACTCATGGCTGCAACAGACAAGCCACGTTTCTCAAAAGTTTTACCAGACGTTTACCTCGCCCTAGATAATTTGAAGCAGAGATCTCCGACGAGGCAAATACTACTCCAACCATGGCGGGTTCGTTGTAGAAGAGTACATCCTGGGCTTTGATGCCGCCTTCTTCGGCTTCACGGATGAGCAGGACTTGTATCATCATGTGTGGACTTGTTTATCTTTTGACTTTTCGTGTTACGAGTTACGAGGCATCTATGTTGGATCCAATCCAGCGCAACACCCTCGAAGTGGGCTGCTCTTGCGCAACCAGCTGACGACAGTCGTGGTGATGGTGGTGATGAGAGTGGTGAGTATGGCAGTACTGACCATGAGTCTGATGATGGCGCTGATTTTGTTGGCGGAGCGGGTGAGAATCATGTCGATGACTATCATTTTGGTTGTCATCATGTATTATCATGTTGAAAATGACGGAGTTCTTTCCTGATGTTTTTTTGGAACGCTTTCTTTCTTTTTGCTTCGTCCCTACCCTTGCGCTTCTCTGCTTCTGATCAGAAAGAAATGAAGCAAGCAAGGAAGGACATAATTCGTCAGTACCAGAGTAGTAGTACAGTACTAGTACTATATATTGTATATCGTACATATGTGTATAGAACCTTCGGTGTCTTTCCTGTCTATAGTATTTTCTGTATCAGCAAGATCTTCAGTACCTAAAGTACGCATGCAATCTATGCTGCCAAAGGATACCTGTTCTATGTACAACAAGTAGAAATATCTACAGTAGGTAGAATACCCATGGTATCCGTAATCTCACATCGTGCATCTTCGGTATATCTGTCGTATGTCTAGAGTATGTTGATAGTACATGTATAGTTCATGCATAGTATATCTGTCGCTTAAAGTGTATCTACGGTTTTTTAAAGTACAATCTGGTATATGTATACTGTATAGTACTTCTATAGTACATCTAAAGTATATCTATAGTCTGTGAGCAGTATTTACATACCACAGTACGTATAGCATCTACAGTAGCTACAGCATCTATAGCTTCTATAGTATCTGTGTCATCTAGGAATTTAGTTTATCTATAGTTCAGTACCTCTAGTGTGTGTATATATATATATAATGTATATGGTCAATACGTAATAATATATATATATATATATATATATACATATATACACACACACGCACAACCAAAAACCAGCACCACCACAGACTGGATTTTGCTCAGGAAAACCTCCGAAGGCTAGGTTTTCCTTAAACCATCAGTCCCCAAAACGACCACAAAGCGAAAGAACACTCCATCCTTTCTGATATCACTTGCCACTTGCAGTTTTGACCTGCATTTGTTGTGCTGTGTAGTTCTTCGTAGTCTGAAGGGCTGAGCCATGGTTTTCCAAAGGCAAGACCATAGGGCGGTCCATGTTGCGCGGCTCAGGCTATTCGACCCTCCTGAAGGCTGGATGGAACAGGAAGCGGCTGGGAAGCGCAAACATAGGTGCTGCTCTCAGTTCGGGTGCTGAAGCCGAAAGGGCCTGGACTCGCTTTGTTTTGTCAGTACACAGCTCCATGCACACCTGAGCCCACCCTGGGCGTTGAATGTTGGGGTTTCCGGCGGGAGTCTTACATCTGGCACGGAAAGTCAAGCGCAGACGGTTCAAACCGCTCACTGCCTGATGGGAATGTCGGTGTGCAATTTTGATGTTGTCTGGTCCCTTACTTCCAAGGTGTCTATATCGGCAACTGTGGGACGGATTGGTCGGGCATGAAACCTATCATCCCTTCGGAACTTCCAAGTTGCCAGGCTGCACCGCTAGCTGATGAATAGCAGTCTGATGAACCCAGTTCATACAGACCATCCCAGGTGTCTCTGCCGAGATGATGGCTTTTCGGTGCCGTGGCCAAACAAGAGGGAAGAGACATTGACGAGTGCGCTCATGCGTGCAGACACGGCTCATGCCTCTAAATGCGCTTTCAGCAATATCTGCAGGTTGTCGGCAATGTCAGCACATTCGACGAGCACACGACTTTCCTATACTTTTGGCATGACGGGCCCCATCAGTACATCCGATACTGCCTGCTCGTCGTCTTTGGTGGCGACGCTAGGTCCATCATTAGTAGCCGGGGACGCATGTTGTTTGCGCCAGCAAGTCTCCAGCAACTGCTGCAGCCAAGGACTGGCGAAGCCCACAATGCACTTTGGATGCAGCCATCATGGTAGGAGCTGTCTGCAAGCTCTGCAACTAGCAGGGCAGCCTCGGTCATTCTGTTTCGAAAGGCTATTCGGCAGCTTGATCCTGGGCAGAAGAATATCACGAGCAGCTCCGGAAACACCGAGCATGCTTTGGCCATCGGCACCAACGGCTTGTTCCTTGGTGAAAAACACAAACCCTCCGACTCCTGACCGAAGAGCAAAAAATCAGCGCCGCATGTGCATGGAAAGGTTGGGCCCCTTTTCTTGGATTGGGCTCTGTGGCCCCAAGATGCTTTCAGTGGCTCGGCATTGGGAACCTCACGTCCAGTGTGCCCTTACGGCAACAATCCACTACTGTGATAACATTTTGCATGCTTGTTTGTGCAGCGTCACACTTGGATTCGGGGTTCTCGTGCTATGACTGCTACCCGTCACTTGCATTTGTGAACGATCCGATTGTTCCATGTGGGATCGAGCGTCTACATGGGGACAGGCCGCTTTTGATTGATGTGTTGTTGGAACCTGTGGCTGGAGTTGTTGCTGGTGGAAACGAGTGTCGACATGGGAAATGGCTCATTTTGATGTGATGTGATATTACGGACGAGCACTTATGTGTCTCGATCGGTTGCTTGTGGGGTCGAGCGTCTACATGCGGAAAAGGCCACTATATTGCTTGGGTGCGTCGACATGCTGAGGCGAAAGGCCGTTGCTTCACTTTCGACTATGGAGCAGATGGCTTCGGCCGCGGCGAAGGCGTCCCAAATTTTTGCTTTTCTTTGTCTTCATCAGCATGGTCATCTGCGTAGATGTCTCGAAGCTGCGAAATCTGTGCCATCCACTCATCTCGTCAGCTTGTTTGTTTGGCTCAGGCACAAGTGGCATCTTTATGCAAGTCACACACGAAGAGCCGACGGAGAGACTGGCGATCTTCTGTGGCACCAACATCAACCAGGATGGCAGGCCAGGCCTTGGAGCCTTGGGGCCTTGGGGCCTTAGCCTTCATCTTCCAAAGCTCCATCATCAGTTCGAAACGCATGGGAGTCATCATGGCATCTTGGTCTGCTCGTGGTCGTGGCAGGCATGAAGCGTATTCAGCAATCTTCATCTTCATCCCGACAAATGGTCCATGGTCATGCCAGGGTACTCTTGATAGTGTACTCACAGCCACCCTTTGAGTTTAGTTACGGAAATAAACGCAATAATGGTGCGACTGGTACTGCGGCAACTTAGAATCACATCCATGGGTATCACATCTGACCGGTCATGGCAGTCAGACGGACTTTCAAGGCAGTATCGTTAGCATGAGTGAAGGAAAGCGACAAGAGGTGATAGCAAAGCCAGGTTTACAAGATGCTCGTTGTCACTATCATCACTAAGACTTCTAAACCGTAGTGGGATGGACGCTGCTGCTTCTTCCACTGGTGGAATTGATGCTCGTGCTAGTCGTCCTCCTCCTACCAATGCTACCACAAGCGCCACATGTATGACGCAAGGTTTCTACAGGTTCCCTTCCTTCAGATTCTAAAAGTGGTCAGTATCAAAACAAAGGCAGGGACGACAGGAAGTCGAACATGCAGAGCGGGGCAATGCCAACAGAGGCGACACTTAAACCGAGCCAAAAAGCATTTTGTTTGCAATGAACACGTGAGGAAAGGAAAGCATCAATCTCTAAGTAGAAGATCTGGAAGCAACGGGACAAGCACCAACTGCACGAGAACCAGTCGCGGAACTATTTCGTGCCAAGCAGCAAGAAAACAGGCACAGCAGAACACGTCCGGGAACAAGATGTTGAAGCTTTCAGGACTTGGTAAAATGGGACAGCAAGCACAAACAACAGCCAGCGTGCTGTCGTTTGTTTGCATCCGCTATGGCAGCAGAGACCGCAACAGAGCCTGTCTGTCATCTTCAAGCTGGAAGGTAAGATGTGCAGCTCTGTGCTGTGTTTCACCAGAATCCAATAGGCATCGATTGCGACGTGACATCCTTCTGTGAACACTTCTAAAGCCCCAACTCGAAAGTGTTGTCTTGCAGGAGTGCCTCGATGACAGCACCACACGGGCCGTCGCAGCAGGATCTCTCGATGGAAGCCACGGGGTGATGATCATACCGTCCTTTCTCGTTGCTTATAGACGACGAATGATATGATGTTTCGCGTCGACCTCGGCATTTTCATGCATCATCATCTTCACCATCAACATTACTATCATCATCAGCATCTTTACTCTAATCTTGTTGGAACTCTGTCTCCGATTCTCATTGTTGTTCCGGACAGGAGTGCATACGTGCCTCTCTTCGAGAAGCAAATGTCACGCCGGCGGACATCAGGCAGAGAAGGGCCATTGGCTGCCAGTCTTTATCATCTTCATGTTCGCCATCATCCTCAGTATCAGCATCGCCCATCACCTTCATTATAGCCGTCATGCCAAACCTCGGTGTCATCATCACAATCATTGCATTCATCACCATCTTTACACCATCATCATCATCTCCAGCATCATCATCATCGTCATCACCATCATTTTTAACATCGTTTCAAAATCATAATCACCATCCTCCTCCTCCTCATCATCACCATCCTCAACATCATAATCACCGTCATCATCGTCATCATTGCCATGTCAATGTCAAATTCGTTATCCTCGACATCCTCCTTAGTCCTTACCATCGTCAGCGGCTTTATCCTTCGCCGGGAAAGACACCTTCATGAAATATGCTGGTTGTATCACTATCCATCGTGTGGTCTTGTTCATGATACTGACCCGTGAGGAAGGGGTGCTGTGAAGATCTGCTTTTGTACGTAGTTATCGAGACACGGCAGGGTGGCTGAGCTGCATGGCACTGGAACCGCCCTGGGAGATCCGATCGAAGTTGGTGCCCTGCGCGGTGTGATGAAGCGTCTTGGTCTGCAATCGGTCCTTTTTCGCGTGTTCTTCGGGAGGGACGTGCGATGTCCAGGGATCGGAAAGTGCCAATCATGAAGACCAGTGCGAAGTCCAACCTGGCTCACGGCGAAGCCAATGCAGGGATGGCAGGCTTGGATTGAGCGAAGCCATGGTGAGGATGCTGAGTATTGTCTCGCGCTGTCTTATCGCGTTTTGCATAGTACCTTGCTTGGTGCTGCTTCATTCGCAGGTCTTGTGAAGTGCGTCCTGATGTTGAACCATCACAGTGTTTCTCCGAACGTTCATTTCTACTGCCTCAACCCGCATGTGGACATGAATGGTTATCCTTGCCAGATTTCGGTGCCTTGTCTCGACGTATTTCTGTGTGGTCGAGAGTCGAGCGCTTCGCCGCTTTGCCCTAAAGACCAGGGAGAGCTCCTGGATCTCGGCTCGAACACTGGCTATGCGGGTGTCTCCTCCTTTGGCTTCGGTGGCACCAATGCGCGAGCCGATATCTGGGCCAAAGCACAAACTGGCTTCAGAGACTCTGTTCCACTGTTTTACCATTTTACCATGGCTTCTCAGTTCCGTTC